TTGCCCCCGTGCGCATGGTAACAGTCCCCCCACGCCACTACTGCACAGTGACCAACCCTGTGTCCCGGGATGCCCAGGGCTCTGTGCTGTTCGATRTCACAGGGCAAGTACGGCTTCGCCACGCTGACCAAGAGATCCGGTTGGCCCAGGACCCCTTTCCCTTGTACCCAGGGGAAGTGCTGGAAAAGGTACTTGGCTTGCTTCCCATCCCCAACTCTGCCAGTCCTAGGCTCTGCACTGTCTTCTTAGGGGACAGTGGGAAGGGCTGGGAGGGACATTTGCTTGTTTTCACCAGGGCAGAATTGACTCACCATCCTTCTACTCGCCTTGCCAGCCCCCTGCTTCCTCCTCTGTGTCCCCAACCTACCCTCCTCTCCTGTCTCCACTGTGGAGCCTTGGGGAGMTTCCCCTCCATCAAGTGGACGCGATGAAGCCCAACCCATCCCCTATCTCCTGAGGCTCTTCTCACCTCTCACTTCTCTCTCCTTTCCATCTAACTTCTTAGCTGGATATCCCAGCAACTCAGAAGATTGAGGCAGGAAGATCGCAAGTTCAAAGCCAGCCACAGCAATTTAGCAAGACCCTCAGCAACTTAGTGAGACCCTGTCTCAAAATAAAAATAAAATATAAAAAGGACTGGGGATGTGGTTCAGTGGGAAAACTCCCCTGGGTTCAGTTTCAGTACCAAAAAAAAAAAAAAAAAAAAGAGCCCGTTCCTTCATTAAGCCCTAGTTCAAAGGGCCTTCCCAAACTTCTCCTTCAAGTGAGTTTCTGCAGAACCACCCTCCCGACATCTGCAGTCTGGGGAGAAGAGTCCTGCCTTATCTCCCTGCTGGAATTGAAACTTCATGAAGACAGAGGCTGTGTCCTCAGTCACGATGACCAGAGCGTCCTGTGTATGGGAGGTGAACAGGGAAAGGGAGACTCTAGCCAGTGTGTGGCCAGAGGGCAGAGTGGTTACTCCCATCTTCCACAGCCCAGGGCCAGTTTAGTTGGAGTCGGGAGAGCAGGCAAGATTCCCTAGGATTCAAGTCTTGATTCCATTCTTTACTGGCTGTGTGACCTTGAATGTGTCTCCTAATCTCCGTGATCCTTTTTTTTTTTTTCCCTTTCCTTTCTCTCTCAGAACATTTGTCAAATATCAAATGAATTCATGTTTGTGGAGACATTTCTACAAACTTTTAGAAGGTGCATCTACTTTTTTTGCCTTCTTGTCTGAAGAAGATGTGATGTCTCGAACACCAACAACTATCTTATAACCATGAGGCAAAACCATGCTTAAAACTTGCTTGTTAATGTTATAATGGTTTATATCCTCCCACCTTCATATAATCCCTAGAGAGCACCGGTGAACAACAAACTAGGAAATTTCATTGATTCAGCTTCTCAGATATTTCTAACACATCTCAAGCCTTCCACTTAGTCTCCCTCTTAGATTATTAGCTCTAAACATCTCCTGAGCTCATCAGTGATGGCATCCTCCTGCTTGATCTACTCCATCCTTTAGTTCTTTAGATCAGATATCCTTGGGACCACCTCTACCTTGGGTATTCCACCTGGGTCTTATTTTGGGACAYATAAAGATTGATGCCATAGGTTCTGACCTTCATACTATCCGGTTTAACCATCAAGGTCATAGCACTGAGTGCCCCTGGCCTCTTCATCCCCCACTAGGACATCACCCCACTGCAAGTGGTCCTGCCCAATACTGCCCTACATCTTAAGGCGCTGCTGGACTTTGAGGATAAGGATGGATACAAGATAGTAGCAGGAGACGAATGGCTATTTGAGGGACCGGGTGAGTTAACTGTCCATTAGGAGAGATCGGGGTCTTTGGTTGGGGTCAGGGTCTTTGCCTTCCCACCATCGCCCTGACCTCTTCTATCCTCAGCTTCTGTTCCATCTCCCCTTTCCCAGGCACGTACATCCCCCGGAAGGAGGTGGAGGTTGTGGAGATCATTCAGGCTACTGTCATCAGACAGAATCAGGCACTGAGGCTGAGGGCCCGCAAGGAGTGCTTGGACCGGGATGGCAAGGAGAGGGTGACAGGTGGGGACCCCAAGGGACATTGATGGTGTGTGGGCAGGAGGGACTTTGCTTGCAGGGGAGGCAGGGAAAGCCACTTGTAGCCAGAGGGCAGTRCTTCCCTGGTTTCTCTTTTCTTTTTAAGGGCATGGCTACAGCTCAGTCGATAGAGTGCTTGCCTTGTGTGCTCAATGCCCTGGGTTTGATTCCCAGCACCAGAAAAAACACACCCTTTTTTTAGTAGAGCATCATAGCTATGCATAGTAACTGAGTTCATTTTTTTTTTAATGAGAGAGAAAAGAGAGAATTTTTAAAATATTTTTCAGTTTTCAGTGGACACAACATCTTTATTTTTTATTTTTATGTGGTACTGAGGATCGAACCCAGTGCCACGCGCATGCCAGGCGAGCACGTTACCACTTGAGCCACATCCCCAGCCCTTGGTATTTCTTGAGAACTGTGGAGGGCTGTCCAGCACTGGCTCTGCCCCAGCCCCGATCTTGTGATCATAAGCACATGGACGTGGCCTTTCCCTCTCCCACCCTTCAACTTGAGCTGTGGGCAGTGGCCAGGTCTTATCTGATTCTGGATCAACAATGCAGAGGTTCAAATACAGTGAACAAATGCACCCAAGTGCATTGCTGGATGTGGATCAAAATGCTTTACAAATTGTGGCTTATTGAGTCCACCAACAATCTTGAGATGTCCATATGGCAAGGCTGAGGCACAGAGGTCTGGTGACTTGCCCAGGATATGTGGCCAGATGGGGCAAGGCTGAGGCTTGGGCGTCCTTGCTGCTCCAGGAAACAAAAGGATACCCACAACTCTACTGGAGGCACCAGGGTACCAGGGATTGAACTTGGGGTTACTCAACCACTGAGCCACACCCCCAGCCATATTTTGTATTTTATTTAGAGACAGGGTCTCACTGAGTTGCTTAGTGTCTTGCTTTTGCTGAGGCTGGCTTTGAACTCCCGATCCTCCTATTTTAGCCTCCTGAGCTGCTGGGATTACAGGCGTGCACCTCCGTGTCTGGCTAATAGAGGCACTTTTCCTGCTCATTTTAGGGGAGGGAAAAACTTAGTCTTTGGGGCATAGAGAAGGAAGAGCAGAGTGTTCGCGTAGCAACTCCTTGAGCATTCTAGAAGTTTTTTTTTTTCCTTCTTTAATTCTGGGGAGAAAGGAATGAGTCCAAGGGCTCCTGTCAGGCCTTTGAACCTGGGGGCAGTGACTTCTCTTCACCTTTGAAGTCCTGTTGTCCTGTTATCTAAGCTGTGGAAAAGACATCTGGGGGAAGCTGCATAACTTCTGACCTTGACCTCCTGCCCTTGACCAGGAGAAGAATGGCTGGTCCGCTCTGTGGGTGCATATCTCCCAGCAGTGTTCGAGGAGGTTCTGGATTTGGTGGATGCTGTAATCCTTACGGAAAAGGTTTGTGGCCTGGGGATGAGAAAAGGGACCCTGGGCTAGGGAATGCTCAAAAGTGGCAAAGAATAGCAGCAGACAATGTGAGAGTGAAAGGAAGACATTACTAGGGTCACTATAAAAACCCCAGAGGTCACATCAACTGAGGACTATCTTGGGCTATCTGGAAGGGTTAAAAAGTCCCTCAGACCTGGGAGCAGAGTTAGTGGCCAGTGGTGTTCCCAGAATCCCCCAAGGAAGTGGTAGGAGGAAGTTGGAGGGAGACTTACTGAACACCCAGCGTCTCCTTCTGCAGACAGCCCTGCACCTCCGGGCTCGGCAGAACTTCCAGGACTTGCGTGGAGTGACCCGCCGCACTGGGGAGGAGTGGCTGGTGACAGTCCAGGACACAGCAGCTCACGTGCCCGATGTCCATGAGGAAGTACTAGGAGTCGTGCCCATCACCACACTGGGCCCCCAAAACTACTGTGTGGTCCTGGACCCCGTGGGACCAGATGGCAAGAACCAGCTGGGACAAAAGCGGGTCATCAAGGTGAGTTCCTCCTTTTCCCCAGAGCCTGTCCTATGAGGGTAAATGCTCTTGAGTACAGGAGGCCTGACTTCCACTCACTCCACATTCTAGAAACACCCTTGGTGCCTTTGAACACTTAGTTCTGTGTGCCTAGGACCCTTCCCATTTGAAACCCRGGCAGCCTCCAGGGAACCTCAGGGACATGCTCCCTGTTCTGCATCCTGCCCTCCACCCCATGCCGGAAGACCCTGAAACCGTCTCCTGTGTCACACCTCTGTGTTCTAGGACCTTGGTCGTCTTGTGTAAAACAAATCCCACAGTTGACCTTCTCCCCTGCTCCATGAACTTTATGTAGGGACTCCGGGGACCGCACACTTCCCCTAAAGGGCTGCGCAGCAGTAGTTTCTGCCTATAGCACAGGGTTGCTGTTGAAGGCCAATTGTTCAGCTGTTGTCTTGTAAATGCGGCCCAGACAAGTAAAAACAGAGGAGGCTGCCACGTTCCCAGAATATTGCATTATTTTATTCATTTTTATTTTTATTTATCTATTTATCTATTTTGGTATTGGGGATTGAACTCAGGGGCGCTCTACCCCTGAACTATTATCTCCAGCCCTTTTTAGTTGTTATTTTGAGACAAGATCTTGCTTAAATGGCCCCAGGCTAGCCTGAAACTTGTGATCCTCCTGCGTCAGCCTCCTAAATTGCAGAGATTACAGGCATGCACCACTATAACCAGCTTTGTAACTCTTGTGAATAGGTTAACTCTAAACAGTTTAACTTGTAGCTGGGTGAGGTCTTGGTACATGCCTATAATCCCACCAGTTCTGGAGGCTGAAAGGGGAGAACTCCAAGTTTGAGGTCAGCCTCAGCAACTTACCAAGACCTTGTCTTAAAATTAAAAAAAATATATATATATAAAAAGGGGGCTGGAGTTGTGGCTTAGTGGTAGAGTGCTCGCTTCGCACAAGTGAAGCACTGGGTTTGATCCTCAGCACCACATAAACAAGTAAGTAAGAAGGGCTGGGCATGTGGCTCAGTGATGAAGCACCCCTGGGTACAGTCCCCGGTATCAAAAAAAAAAAAAGTTTAACTTGTAATGATCCAGGTGTGACAGTTCAGTCTTTCAGAGACATGTTTGACTAAGTGAGATTTTATAGCCCTTAGAGCCTCACAGTCCAGATAGTGCACCACAGTATTATACTGTGGGGGTGGGGCATGCTTTGGGGCTCCTGTACTCAGCACAAGCCCAGGGTAGCACAGGGCTGGGGAGGTGCCACTGGAGGCACCTGTAGCCCTGGGTGGCAACTGCTCCTAACCCTCTCCTCACCTGTGTCC